TAATCTATGTTTTGGCTAAAAAGGAAAAGTGTGATGTCATATAACGGGCTATCTTCCCATCCAAGTTTCTCCAATTTTGACATACAAGCGTCCATATCCCCGTCCTCCGATGGTTTGTCAAAAATGGCTTTCACATGTGTCACCACATRAGCCAACTCATCTTCCCTTACCAATGGTTGATTAGCTTTTCGTTTTCTAGTTTGAGAACGAGAGGAACATTCTTGTGTCGAGCTAGATGGTCCTTGAGTTGAATTAGGTGGTCCTTGAGTTRAAATAGGAGGCGCTTGATCTGAAATTGGAGGTGCTTGTGTGGTATCCAACACTTGATCATCAACTAAAGGCGGATTAGAAACATTAGCAACACGCGAAGGGTTATGAGAAKTAGACGAAGGTCCCCATGTCCCCATACCCGTGGCCGCCACTCCATCAAAAATTTGCACACAAAGATTAGGATAAAGTAATGGTGCATTCCTCAACTTGTCAGCATATTTACTCAACTGTATATAAAAAAAAGTAAAAACATATAACTAAAAGAAAAATATAAGGAAATTAAATTAGAAAACCAGAAAAAGAATTGACCTTTGCCTCTGCCTTCCACTCCTCTTCAGATAGATTGAATGTGTTGGTTGTTGGGTTATAAACATTGCCCGTTTTATTCCTAAGTCTAGACCATACAACGTATTTCCCTCGTAAATAGTCATAGTGATTCTTCATTTGTCTTTGATTGACAATGACGTTGTGAGTTCTTTTTAATGTTTCCGCTATATTGTTCCAAGAGTGCATCTTAAGGCTACCGCCTTGCATTCCATTCATGGACATCTCTTGTAAACAACATTCCAAAAAGGTTTTTACTACATGCTCTTTCCAACTAACCCTCGATTTTTTGGGTTCCGTTGATTCATCATACRATTCCATACCTATGTCAAATAAAAGATATATGATCACAGAAAACCACAACAGCGAAAGTAAAGCAAATAGTATTTGTCCAAACTTGAAGCTGGCRGTGGCAGAAAGGGCAACGTAGTTAATGGCAACAAGAAGCAAACCCATAACCATGCACAGATGCATAGAAGCAGATCTATTAAAAACARTAGCAAACAACTCATAAACCACCAAGTAATTCCAGCCTTTAATCCAAAACAGTAGCAGCTATTAGAGCATTAAAAACAAATGCAAATCAAAATCCCATTTTTGGAGGTATAGGAGTCCCATTTTTGCGGATAGAGGATGGTGGGAGGGTAGTTGAACACTGTTGTGGTTAATGTTGGGTCTGGGGTGGCAGYTGGGGATCTTTTATCAGTTAGGGAGGTGTATATGTGTTTGGTTTGGTTCTACTTTGATAGCAATAGATGCAACTGTTCCAAGTTATGAATTTGGCTTATGATTTACGTCTATTATAACCCGGTCTTGATGGTTCACATTTCTG